CGGTAGGGAAATGTCGACGCGAACCCCGCATTCAATGAAAATCTGACGGTATTGGTGGAATCGGTCGAGCGCATTTTTGATTGTAATGAGGTCCGGGGAGGAGATAGCGTTACGGCGGACCATGTAGCAGAAGTCCATGAACGCAGCTAAGCACTTCGTCATGTCTGACGGGAGATAGCCAGCAACAGCGGCGAGATAAATCTTGAAAAGATCGGATTCGGGGTCAATGACGTGTCATATAAATATGTACAAATACACACCTTCATCAATGCTTTCGAGTCGTCGCCGGTCCATTGGCTGAAGTCGCGACCATCGGGGAAGCGGCGCAGCCCAGGGAACTCCGGCACAGCAGATATCCTAACCCAAATAAGGCTCAGTGTCATTCGCAGCGGAAGAAATTATGTGCTCACCTGCGATCAATATCTTGCACAATCTCGTGTGCCCGCTTTTCACCATGCGCAAGCAGCAGGTAATCGTTAATCCAGGACACGATGTGGTCCTTGAACGTCCCCTTGATGACCTGATGTAGGAGGTCAGACGAGAGGAGCTCGTGTATATCGGCCCGGGGGAAGTCGTTCGTGAAAGGCTGTTAAAATATCAGCCGTGAATTCGAATCAGGAGGAAACCACGTACGACAATATCAGCTCGAATGCCGTAGTCGTCCCAAAGAATCCCCGGGTCGAAACACTGGATCAGTGTCTCGGTCTTTGTCTGACTGCGAAGCCGTGCCCCTTCCGCATCAAGATCATTCGGGAATGCATCGCACCTGTGAACGAGAATTAGCAGTGGTCTCAGAGGAAAGAACGAGGTGAGCACAAACTTCGGACACCAATTTTGGACTACAGTAGCAAGCCACACTTGCTCCGGGTAGTCTGCGATGTAAGGGCCTATGCCCCAGATAACACGCCGAAGATGGCCGTCAGGGCATCGGACCACCTCCGGAGTTTCCATGAACGCTTTAAGCGGCTGGTAGATTAACGCCAGACTGGCGTGGTACATCTGGCGGCAAAACTTCTGATACTCTGGCTTGGTGCGATGCTTTTTACTGGCTAAATTGAATATCAGCCAAGAAATTGGATCCAAATGAAGAACGGAGGAGTACTGACTCTTCGGAATGGCTAGAAATGCGGCCGGCAAGACCCCATTGCCATGTGCACGGCGAGCAGGTCCCGACAAGATGCCAGGTGACACATATACAGGATGGTACTCTTGATGGCCCGTAGCGACAGAGACAGTTGTCTTGTCACTTCCGCCAACGACGGGTACATATGCGCAGCCGTGATTCGCTGGGGTTTGTGCGAGGATATCCTGGAGCGAGAATTAAGCATGGTAAGAGCGATAATCTCAAGCCACTCACAGCCTGTTTCCACGCCCACTCTCCAGACATCAGATTCGACCAGACTCGGTCACCATTATGATTGAATTGCATGTATGGGACCATATCGACATGGTCCTTGAACGCCGTCGTGCCGAGTTGCTGATGCAATACAGCACGTAGATCTCGAGTACAGACCTCGTAGTTCTGTGTCATCCATTTGGGCGGAGTTCCTGGCGGTAGAGGACCCGTATATCGCATCTGGTACGTCTTCCACGGCATGTCCCCGCTTTGGATCGCATCGATGGTCGCATGCAGCTCCTTCGCATTCTTCCAAGGTGCGTTGCCGCCGTATGGCATGACAGACGCAGCCCAGAGGTCCAGCGCCGTGTTGATGTGGCCCTCGGACGTCTGGAGCTCGACGAAATGATAATGTGCAAAGTCGAATTCGAGCCGTGAGTTGAACGGTGCCCATGCTGCAGGATCTTGACCGTCTGCAGGTGGTGCTGGTCGCGGCGGCGGTCCCGTATATGGCGGTAGATATTGGCCGTTAGCATCGCATGGGAGCGCTGTTAGTTGATCAGCCAAATGCCACAAGGACAGAGGGAATATTCACCGTTCATTGTACTGTGGAAACGTCTCTCGAAATTGTTATCATCGTCGTCTTCCGGGGCTGGCGTAAATTGGCGATGCTTTGCTTTGCGATGTCGTCCCAGGCCACCAGGAGTAGCGCAGTTAAGCTGGCATTCGGGACAGGTGTAGGTGACGCCATGGACCATGTGCGATGAGGCTGGAAGTAGTGCGAAAAGGGTAAGTGGACTTAGTGAAAAGTTTGCGACGAACACGTGCGACATACCAATTCCACGTAAGCACTAGAAAAAGTCTTCCTTCCCTCTCCAAAAAATGTCCAGCAAGCGTGGCGCAGCCCGAGGTCGTGGTCGCGGTGGCAGTCGCGGTCGCTCGAAAAGCACTCCAACTGGTGCAGGGACCAAGCGAACAGCATCGGTAGCAGCAGCGGATTCCGATTCCGATTTCCAGGAGAGCTCGGCTCCAAAAAAATCCAAGGCTGCCCTTCCGCCCCGCCCGCCTGCTGCCTTACGCGAGAAGGGAAACAAGGATCCTGCAGGACCCGACAAGCCTCGTACCAAGCGCCCGAATGGATCCATTGCTGAAGATGCGGCCAACGCTGAGGCTGCGGCTGAAGAGCGCGAAGCCAAACGCCTCCGCCGCATCGAGAGAATTGCTGCTCTCGACGCAGAACGAGAAGTACTGGAGGCGGAGGAGGCTGAGGAAGCCATTGACCATCTTCGAGACCTGCCGCAGGACGATATGGATCTGGATGCGGATGAGGGAGCTGATAACGAACCTGTCCTAACCATCACTCAGGATGATTTCGACCGTATCGAGGATGATGAGGAGTACCGTTCGACGTCGGAATTTGAGAAGCCAAAGGTCCGTATCGCAAATCTATGCAATACTTGATGTCGCGCTGATCTTCTGTGCAGACCAAGGCGCCTCTCAAGCCCAAGAAACCCGCAAAGCGCCAGACCCGGGCGGAAATCGCAACTGCGACAGAAGTACTTGTGGCGAAGCGCAAAGGCGAAGAGTTGGCGGTAAAGAAGAAAGGCGTGCAGAACAGGTGCAATCCGATTGATTCGGATCCACCACGTGTGCACCAAACTTACCTCTTGCCAGCGACGCTGCCGCTGCCTCTCGCAAAGCCGGAATCTCGGGAACGTGGCTCAAACAGCGCCCTGCTATTACACCCACCGCAACAGCTCCCAAAGCTCCCGAAGCGCGCGACGGTCCTGCACTTGGCGGCCTTACCGATGACGACGCGGATGCAGTGCGTCCTGCATTCGAGTCCGAGCCTCAAGCACCACGGAAGAACGATGTAAGCTCAGTGGTTTTTCCTTGGGTTCAGACTTGAGGCTAATGCTGGGCGTGCAGATGATCTCTTTCGTCTCGACCTCAGACATCGAAGAGACCCCCAGCAAGCCCGGAGAGCTGGCGACGGTGGCGACGACCAAGCCAACGCAAAAACGACACGTCCGGGTCCCTACAAAGCCAGAAACATCAAAAATCCCGGCGCTGAGTGTCAGCCGCGGGATAAAGAGCGAGTTATCCTCAAGTTCCTTTACTCCGGACTCCTCGCATGATGTCAACGGACTTCCAGCATTCATCGCGCCCACCTGGCCGTTCTTCCTATCCATGTGTTACCGTGCTATCTTCCTCTCTGCTGACCCCATGGTCATTGGGGCAATCGGCACCGACCCCAGGAACCCAGGTAAAGAAACGGTCGCGTTTCTTCAAGCTATTCTCGACCACGAGTATCGGGGGAATGGGTGGAAGATTGTGTGGAGGGATGCGATCTGTACCAAGGTGCGTACACATACTTCCCCATCGGATACTTTTGCTCACACCCACGCAGGCTGTCAAGCGCATAGGCGAGCGACGTTCGGCTGTCGGCAAGGCTGTCGTAGTCAGCGTCGACCGCCTCGTTAAAGGTCCTTCGTTCTTTACTGACTTCAATTCTCCGACTCCGTGCATTGCCCTCACCGACAAAATCAAGGATTTCGCTTGGTACGCACTGCAGAAGGACGGGCCCGGCTTTTACAAGACCCCAACGCCCGAGGAGATTAGCAAGCTGAGGCTAGACCGTAAAGATGCAGCATATATTGTAAGTCGTTGGCGGCATATCATACATATACTGACATTATGAACCTTGCAGAAACCGAAGGGATATCTAGAGTCTCCGATCATTATCGAGACTCTATCGCAGTTCATCACCGGTGACGATTTCAAGTTGGTCGTCACTGAGGACAGGGAGGGGAAGCCCATGGTGCATGAGTCCTCGGTGCTTCCGATCGGGCTACTTGGAATGACGGCGGCGGCGGTACGTCTCGACTCTGATTCACTTTCATCACGCCTGATATTCGGGTACGCCAGGTGGAGCGTGCCTATCGGCTGTACGCGACAGGAGTCCGTGTCGAAAAAGTGGCTGACTTCTCGTTAACCAACATCGGTACAGCCGTCGCTGGTTACATTGTAGGCATCAAGGGTCTCTTTCCATCGCGATGGGAGAGTATCCTCGGTGCCTGTGGCGCTAAAATCACAGAACACGCCGCCGAGGATGAGGTCCAGATCATTGAATCTCTCGATGGCGTCCGCGAGGGGATGTATGTTCCCAGCAGCCCGTAAAATGCGTGAGGTTTTTCCTACCCTTGTCGCTCTGGTTCTCATGCCTTCGCCAGTTGAATTTCATGCTCCCGTGTCCTTCTCTAACCCAAAATCGCGTGCCCTGTCGGTCTTTCCATAGATACTCTAAATACACCGCATTTCAAACCCCAAATTTCGATAAATTTATTTATTTTGTACTCAGCTTGTGAGGTTGCGGGGTTGTTCTACTCGAAAAATAGACAGGTTGTTCGGAATTTGGACTCAGGTTGAGAGGTTGTCCGCTTGGGACTTTGTTTGGGCTTGTTCGGGGTTGTTTGGGCTTGTTCAAGCTCACAAGCTATTTGTCAAAAGTCTGATGTGTATGATCAATTAGCATTTTTTTCTTTTTCTTTAAAACTTTTACATGAGGGCTGGCGCTGTGTGGATAATATTGGTTGGTTACAATTTATGTGGGTCCATTCGTCCCTCTTGTCCCTTTATTCCCAGACAGCTCCTTCTCTACAGTGGCTGTGTAGTGTAGTGGTTATCACTCTAGATTTTGAGTTTCATGCCAACGAATGATTTACGTACCTTCTAGCGACCCCAGTTCGAGCCCGGGCACGGCCTTTCTTTTGCTCCTGTGAGCCTCGTTTTGACACTTGATTTGAGGTCGGACGATGGAGAAAGGTGGAGAAAAAAAGAATGGAAAAAAGGGAAAAAAAAAGTGATGCCAGTTCCAAACCTCACACAGCCCTTTCATCTGAATCCGAATCAATAAGCATCGGAGTATGCATGGGCACGGTGGTAAGAAGGAAGAGCAAAGTGACACAGTGTCACACATGTGACCCATAAACTTCCAATCTCCTACCATGAAGAAGGTTTCACTGTTAAGACTCTAATGTGGATAATCTGCCTCTCTCGCTCCCGCAGGCCGCTCTTGACAATCCCATTAACACACTCATAATGTTTTGCTTAAATCCAGCTTGGGTCCAATGTATAGGGGAAGAGGTGACGGTCAATAGAGAGCTGGAAAATGTATTCTTTGTGTTCGGGGCGCGCAGCGCCAATTGTTCCGACAAGAATGGCCGGACTCTGTGCATTGCCTGATCTGCTAACTCACTGGCTGGCTCAATATCCAGAGTCACCTGCCCTTCTCAAATGGTTAGACATACTCACACCGTCAACGCAAGCTTGCATCATATCCCATGGCCAATCTGTATGTCAGCCCTTGAATTTACTGCACTATCTAAGCACCGTGGTCTTAGCTACCTATTCCTGCTCAGCCCAACATCCAAACAAATGCTCACCAAATTCTGACGGACGCTCAGGCGGTGGGAGTGACAATAGCAAATCCGGCAACACTTGGCAGTAACTCTACACTAATACTTCCCGCCTGTTCCCGAATCTCTCCACAAGGATGTTGCCATGTCTGCCCACACCACCTTTCCAACTGAGCAAGCTGTGATACCACGAACACTTACCTCTTCGAAACCACCTCCCTGGACGTCTCTATATCTCCTGCTGCAACTGCACAACCTGCAATACCCCAAAGACTAGGAACCAGCAACAGGCACGCACCACAAAAGTACAATGCACACCGAGTGCCAGCGCTTTCCCAGTTCAGTCTGACGATGAGGTAGAGGAGACGACCAGGAGCACCAAGAAGAAAAAGAAACACTCAAAAGTGGTGTGTCGATTTGGTACTGCCAAAGCTTGCGCACTGTTATCCAGCACCAACCCACTTGCATTCAAACTCGAATTGTCAAAGCTCAGTGGCTTGCGGGCGGTCGCCGAAATGGAGCTCCAGAAACAAGAGAAACTAAAGAAGGATCTTGAGTGGCAGCACAAACTGATCACTTCTGTGAAATTGCAAAGGGAAGCAGAGGTGCAGGCAAACGGTAGGTGGATGTACATGCTGCATTCTCATTGCACTGATATGCATGCACAGAGGTGGCGATGCAGACGGAGAGCCTACAGTGGCCCGAGCTGTCTGCACAACACGACTTGGTGCGCTTGAAAGCAAAAAAATTGGATCTCATTCTTTGCCTTCTAATAATCTCATTATGTCTTGAGCAGCAACGGCAAAGCCACACACAATGGGGTTTGCTGGATTTGCATAGCAGATGTTGGATGTTATTCACTTCAGAATCTGGATTACTGTAACACACTTCCACATATGTCTGACACAAGCACTTCTTCAAGCTTTCTGAGCATTACAAAATGTACTTTACAACATGACTAAATTCAAAGCTTCCCAGTCTGCCTGGGTTGGCCCCTTTTGGCTCTTTTTTAGTATGGGTAAAGATTCCGTGGCGTCATTGACATAAGCCAGCAGAAGGTCTCCAACTGTTCCAGCCTCCTCGTCCACATTGACCTTGACAACCTGGATTGGGGGGTGTCAGTGGAATGATCATGATACCGATAATTGAAGGACACACCACATGGATCAGCTCTTGCAGGGTCGTCTTTGAATCAACAACTGCTGCTGTATCGCCACCTGTTGTCGAAACCACTGAAGCATCACCACCTGTCGTTGTAAGTTTGTGAACATAGCACAGATCCTCAGGTAATGCCTCTTCCTGGAGGTGGCGATAGTAACAGAAGTCCACACACAAATCCGAGACCATGTGGTGACGGGCTTCATGCACAGAGTCAGAGCTAGTTTGCCATCAGAAACACATCCAATTCGAAACAATAAACCAATGCTCACGACCTCAAGTCTCTGGACGGACAGTTGTAGGTGACGGTCTCGTCCGCATCAACAGTAGCCATCTTTAGCTCCAGGTCTTTCCACTCAGAATGCTTCTGGCACCTAAGAATTACATTAGACATTGTCGCATTTGGACCAGATAGAGATACACACAGATGATGTTCAAGATGTTGAATGCTCAAGAAGGTGTCTGTCGTGGGTGGGTTGTGGATGTAAAGTGCACAGCGGTCACATCTGTAGCCTGGTGCCACCCCTGCGGCCACCTGTGCTTTGCTGACCTGTTGAAAAATAAATCACGGTTGTTTGGATTGACAAACATTGAATGCAGACCATAAGCGCCAATGAGGTCGGCAAACCCCCTGAAATTCCCCGAACCACTACCTGAATTCCATAAGTCAGCCTGAAACACGCTGAAGATATTTTCAGGTACCTGGTCATTCATATACTCGATTTCCTCGAAGTCGAACTCGGTGAAATTTCAGGATGAATTATACTGGACATATTCAGGCAAATATCAAGTGATTTTGCAGGAGATGGCTCAAACTGCTCTAGGACTTGATGTACCTTATCCTCGGACGCACCCATGGCATTGCTTCGCTCGCCGAGGGCCGACACGTGCGCGTGGGTGTACATGAAGCTGGGACAAGGCGAGGGAATGAGCCTGGGAGACGGAGCACTGCAGTAATGACGTCATAGTCTATATATATAATATATGACCAAAACAGTAACGTGGTGACTCCACTCTCTTCCTTCAACCACCACCTTCGAGGTTTTGACCACCTCTGCCGCCACCACACCACCTTCGACCGTCCTCGCCCTTGTCCATCGCCTCGTCCAGTTCATTACACTGAAGGTCTAGGAGTGGCCGGCCGCTGTGGCCTTTGGGTTTTGTGATGCCAGTGTGTCGTATCTCTCTCTCTGTATTCGGCATTTCTGACCTTGATTTGGACAGCTTTCCTCCTTCGTCAAGTTTGAATACATTCAAGGACCAAAGCCTATGGTGTTGTGCTATCCTGTCGGCTTCGGTCCTTTCTGATAATTTGCCATCTCTGCCTAGGTGAGTTCCCATCCGCCCGAGTCTCGACCATGAATTGAATTCCCTCTCTGTGTGTACTCCTTGGTTGTCGGTTGTATGTATGTGTATCAGTTGGTTTCAATTCATCACTTCGAGCATTTGTTGAACTTCTACCATCAGGACACCGGAGAAGGATGAACCATCAGGACCGCGACGGAGGAGGAAAAGGTTTGAAGTTGGGTAGTGGATCGTCACGCAAGCACAAGCGGTACAAGAGTTGATACAGTATACTTACTAGTGTGAATTCACAATGAAATGAACTGGATTTCTCTGTATTTTTGTGTGAAAATCAGCATGTTTGAGCGTCAATCTAAGGCATTAACTATGTACATTCAACATGAAATGAGCTGGAATTCAAGTAAAAATGTGCTGAAATGACTCCCTGGAATCTTTACTTTTCTACCTGACTCTTAAGTGCATGGAACTCATTATTTTAGCCTGAAATACAGCAGGTTTTTCAGTGAAGTTCAGTATGATTACAGCTGACTTGTTTCCTGGAATCTCAGGCACCCTGCAAACCCCAGTGCGCTGCATACAAACAAGCCGTCAAGATAGGCTCGACGTAGAAGCTGAACAGGTGCTTGCGGACATCTGCAATTGGCATGTTGAAGACATCAGCCTCTGTAGACTCATCAATGTCGTGACCGTCTGGGAGATCGTCGTCATTGTTTGTGTCCACATCTTTCGCCTTGCCCTTGCCCTTGCCTTTGGGGTCAGCGGCCTTGCCCTTGCCTTTGCCGGTGGGGTTGGCCACATTGTCATCCTCATCTTTGTCATCTTCGTCAGTGGGCATGATCAGTGCCATTTCTGGCGAGGCGTCACTCAACGTCATCCGGGCGAAGAAACCAATGAGACGGTCATGGTCTGTAAGCGTCATTAGACACTGACTTAAAACCAACTTGGTGTCCCATGGAAGTGACTCTGCAACAATGTATATTGTGCAAAGTGTTTTCTATGAGATGTACAAAGTATAGGTAAAAGTCCCCATATATACTTATTTGTACAACTAGGTATCATTATGTCAGCTCCCTTCAAACATCACATACCTAAACATCTTATTCAATCTGCGAGTCCTCAATGGACACCTCAGACTCTCCCGCTCCTGAACTACATTTGGTAATCCATACATTGGGGACGAGTTGTTAATCCTAGTGCGCAATGCACATGCTTGTGCTTGCTCTTTGAGTGACGCCAATTGCGCCAATCCTCTCATTCGAATGATAGCGCCAATTGCGCTGACTTCTGTGTTAATATTCATACCTCTCGTACTCCCGAGCCGGCGCATAAATGGATGACGACAACCCGAATCCCAACTCTGACTCTGAATCCACAAGTCCCATTTGGCTAGCTAGTGACCCTTTTGGTGGGACTGAAATGCGATCAATAAGTGGTGAAGACATTCACAATTTAAGCGTCCGATGAGGCGGTGGACATATGCTCAGCGGCTGGGTGCGGGCGGCGGTGCACGCAGGCGCAGTCGGTATATGCATTGTGTTTATGCCATGTTTATCGCCGAATGATGCAGGACCTGTACTGCCCACACATTGTGCTGCGGTGGAGTGCACCTCTGTATCGCTGGGAGGACACTCGAGCCAAATCGGCCAAAGCGGTGGATATGGCGCTAGCTAAGACACAAGCTGACCTAATCTAGCTACAAACGGGCCCAAATACTGTGCAGCGCCACCCGGTGTGGGCAAAGCCCACTACCAGAGCGGGTGTCCCTTGAATGGATTGTATCGCCTCCTTCACTCCCGCCAGCTCCGCTGCTGAAACCCACGCCTTAAAGAGGTTGTGAGCCACGATACGGGTGACCCACGTAGGTATGGCGGGGTATTGTTTTTC